AAAAAAAAAAAAAGGTTTCCCTTGCTTTCTTTCTGCATATGTCTAAGAGAGAAATTAAGCCACCATTTTTGCCTGCTAGTGGCATTAATGCATGAGAAGTCAGACCCCAGAAATCTTTACTGAACATGCACTTAAAAAAACCCAACCCTCACTACTGAAATTAAGGCTGCTCGTTAGAGTCAGAAGCAGGTTTCAAAGACATAATCTTATGTCTCCATTTCTAAGAGCAATTTCACTGAGATTCCAACAGATTTCAAATATTTGAGACAGATGTCACCTCTAAGTAGATTTGTTTAGATGTTAAATTTTTACCCAACTCCACTTTACAAGTTCTTAATTATGGTGTTTTCTGAAACAAGACACATCTTCTGTCATTCTATGGAAGTTCCCAGCTGTAAAACACCCCAGAACAAGCTGCATCTCCCTCAGCTGTGCAGACTGTTTCTCGCCTCCAACACAACTATTCTCACATACCACTGGAAAAGGCCATTAAAACAAGAGTTACACAACATTTAGGTGGACATCACAAATCCCCTGATTCACATGTCAAAGACAAGCTCTCTGAACATGAGAGTCTCTCAGAATTATGCCTTTTCTGTTAAACCTAGCAGTCTTTTTCCTGCTGGGTCAAGCACTATTTAATCATCATAGTCCACATTTGCTGGGCTAATAAATTAGCCAGTGAAAAAAGCAACAATGAGATCGTGTGTTAAAATGTATTTTCCCTTTCCTGTCTTTATGATTCCTCCTTACTTTTCCAAGCATTAAAAACACAGCTTTCCCATCTCTTCCTTTCCTACAGATGAAGGTCAAACCATTAACTTTTCTGAAGTTAATTTGTGCAGAGAGTACATCACCTACCTTTCCCATCCTCTACCTCATATTAAACAATGACACACATGACATCAGAGGAAGCCACATGATTTATAGCATTTTAAAATAGCAGGAGAACAGGATATTTTCTGTATGTTTTCTGTAATTAAATTAATGCAGTGCCAGATTTTCCCAAGGTATATATACATGTTTTCTCCTGTTGGGCAGAACCGCTGGAGAAGTTTAGAAGGACTTGAAATAAAAACAAGTCTCCTCTTCCCAAGTCTCCTCCTTGCAGACCTATCCTTTTTGTCCAACCACTTCAACCTCAAATGACTAAATGCCAACTTCTTCAAACTATACACAGAAAAGAGGGAAGGGGGAAAAGAATACAACTGATACTGAAACAGCACAAACAGTCTCAAAAATATCATTGCAGAATTTACTTTGCTCCTAATTCACATCCTCCCTGCACACACACAACCTTAAAGAAGGAGGAAAAAGCCCTGAAAGGCCACATCAGGCAGGTCAGAGACTACAGTGCTCCAATTAGTCCAGCTCCAAGGCAGTCACTCACTGCCATACCCTGATCTCTCTGCAGCTCACAGGCTTCTTTTGCAGGGAAGCTACTCCTACTGGAATCACAGAGGAGTTAATTTGAGCGCTGTTCAATCAGGAGTGAAGACATGAGCAGGGCCCAGGCCCTTCCCGAGTATGGAAGGCAGCCAGGAGTTCAAACCATAAAGGGGGATGCACACCCTTCTTGCTCCCCTCGCCCCTGTGCAAGGCACTGAGCTTCTGGTCAGGTTGCAGACCTCAACCATATGGAATAACAAATTACTGAGACTCAGTACAGCAGGGGAGGAGGCTGATCTCTGCAGCAGCTGCAAGCTCCAGGAAGAGGTATAATTGAAGGGGAGAAAGCATGAGAGAATTATTCGGTGCTAAGCCAGTACACCTGTTGCTGTAAAATAATGAAGCAGTGCACATCTTTGCTGTGCAGATCTCTGCAGGATGTGGCTCTAACCATTTGCAGACACAAGTTCTCTCTTCTTCTTTATCCTCTTCAGCGGAAGGGAACACAGATACAATAAAAAAAATAATATTTTTTTTTAAGTTATCATCAGTAGGGATGTATACATTTAAAGGAAACATATTATTGAACACACTGTTTTCTTAAAAAGCTACTGCAACAGATTTGCAAACTCAATCTCATTAAAATTAATGGAGTAGAACCACAAGTCATCTGACAGCTTGATTTCTGTAACTCTTCAAACACCGGATTAAAAGGTTTTATGTGCTACACTCTTTTTATCTCCAGCATGTCACCCTGCTTTTCTTCAGAAAACTAACAAGTGTGCTGTCCTAAAAGTAAAGATTTCCTTGGTTTCCTTTTTTTTTTTTTTGTTCTATTTTCACATTCCAGGGATAATGATTTTAGCAAACAGAGAAAGTTTCCAATTTATGAATAGAACTTTTTTTTTTTTAAAGTTTCTCTATGAAAAAACCCCAAACTAACCCAAAGGACCTGCTGTACTTTCAGAGTAGCATATTTTCTATCCAGACGGGGTTTGATTATCTTACACAAGCCTGGGTCACAGCTAGCTTCCCTCACGGGCTCATTTTTTCCACCTCCTTTGCATGTTACGTGAAGATCTGGGCAGGTATCTCTTTCCACCTATAGAAATTGAAAGACCAAATAATAAAATACAAGGGGCCCAGTATAAGAAAGCAGACCTTGCCAAAGTAGATTCTACTTCTGTAAAAATTTTACTTACAAAATTAAAAATAAAAAAAGAAAAAATAAGCAATTGCTGCTGCACTTTTTGCTCTTAAAAATCATGATGACTTGGTTGACATATATTCTGTAGAAGGGTTTGTACCACAACAGGGCCCTTGGTGCTAGTGAAGACCTGACAGCACTACCATTAGACAATGCACTTAGATTTCCAAGCATCATACATAGCTGCATTTTCATATGAATTTATACAAAACCACATATGATTTGCTGGAACATTAAAACTGCAAGTTGGGAAGGAGGGAAATCCTCACACACCAGTTCATGTTATCTGGAAATGGGTATAAAAACATGGTCAGGGGAGGAAC